TTCTTCCCTTCTCATTCTCGTAGCTCCCTCCCCCCTCTTCCCATGTTCTCAATTTCTGAGCCTTTTTTAAATTTAGTTATCTTATCTTATTTTATGTGTATGAGTTTTGCCTGCATGCATATATGTGCACCAGATGTGTGCCTGGTGCCCACGGAGACCAGAAGAGGACATCAGATCCATTGGAACCTGGAATACGGATAGTTGTGGGGTGGAAATTGACCATATGAATGGTTTTCCAGCTTGGACACTTTTGCTAGCAAGAGTACTTATCCTTGAGTCCTCAGACACTATTCCAAATCAAGCTAGTCCCCAGCTGGCACCCCACTGCAGACTTTCTGTCCTTCCACTCTTCTGTGATATTGTCCATATGCCATAATTTAAACACGGCGTGTATATGAATAAGTTGATAGTCCTCCATAATTTTCTCCACGACAGTCCTACATTCTGCATGAAAGATTGCCGAGACCATAGAGAGAAAGGTGGATGTAATCTCCTTCTGCATCTACCATGCTCTCCACTTCTCAAGCAAATATCAAAGAGGCAACATCCAGTTTTTTCAGAAGCTTTTCTTCATTGTAAATCAATATATGAAGATAGGTCACCTTCCTCAGCTTGTAACTACTGACAATTTATGGCTCTCTGCAGTCTCGCTCCACTGTATTTTAGATCTATACAAACTTCCAACAAAATTATATTCCATTTGAGGTTGGGGAGCTGAAAATTTCTACACTCAGATTTATCTGTCTGTCTCACTTGACTGTCACTGGTCTTCCTCTACCCAGAAATGCAGACCCTTCGTATAATTTTGGCAACATTGGGAGGAGCAATTTCTTCTGCCTGTGTATCGAGTACTCTTGTGCATGCAAATGAGCTAGTCCCCACCGTAATCAGGTATGATTCAAGGTCAGAGCAGATTTTTCTCAGTTTATTCACCATTCCTGAAAGGACAAGAACAAAGAAAAACTGCTGGGTAGTTAAGCAACCAATTGTGATGATAACAGGAATGGCCACAATTTTATTTTTGTCAGATAAATCCAAACCACTAAACAGCATCTTCTGTTCAACTCGGAACCACCTAGAAAAAAACGCAACTTTTTTAATGTTTTATTTTGGATAGGTCTTTCATTCTGTGTATTTTCATTTTTTATGATTTCATGAAGGTGTGATGACATTCACTCCCCATTATCTTCCTTCTCTTATCTCTGCCCACTCTTGCTAACTCCTCCTTCCACCCTGGCCTGCCTCCTATACTCCTATACTCTTTTATCAGTTGCATGCCTTCAAACTAGCACAGAAAATTTGCATTTCAATAGAACATTCCATCCCCACTCACGTTCCCAGTCCACTCCTCGCTACCCCCTTTTCCTTTCATGTCATATGCATACTATAAATCCCTCTCTCTCCTTAAGACCTTCTCATCCTCTCTTATGATCATTCTTCTAGTTTTGTAGTCTATACCCAGACCCCCACCCACATGAATGCCCAAATGAAAACTAAAGTATAACATACGCATGTGACAGAAGACATGTAGTATTTACCCTCCATAGCACACTTTATTGTAAGTGATAGACAAGAGTCATAATGCCCTGACCTTGACAAAAAGATAACACCAAATGAAACAGAAATTTGAAAGTCAAGAATAAGTTACCAGCATCCGTAAGTCAATTATACTACTCATTGACTTAAAATGAGATGTAAAGTAACAAATTCCATGTAACTTGCTAGATTACTTCTGATTTATATTTTACGCTCCAAGGGCAACGGGTCTAGGAGTCGCTGGAATTGCTGGCAGTGCTGGGGCAGCCATATCTCCTCTGTTTATGATCTTCACCATCTACTCTGCTTCCTTGCCCTGGATCATCTATGGAGTCTTCCCCATCATCACTGGCCTCATTGCCCTTCTCCTTCCTGAGACCAAGAATCAGCCTCTGCCTGACTCCATCCAGGATGTGGAAAATGAGTGAGTAACACCTCTACCTTCCCCTTAGGGGATTTGTGTGTCAATGGTCTGTGATGAGGAAGGTGAATGGGAATTCAGGGTCAGTCTCTCCTTGACAAGCTGACAGCTATGCTTTTCCACATAGGGTTATTGGCGCTGGCAGAGGGACCTTTTGTACATCCCTCTGTATAAGGATTTCATATGTACCTGGAAACTCTACATTGTAAGAACTGGTTCTGACCAGGTGGTGATAGAAGATTTAACGATAAATATGACAAGTTCATGTATCCTCTGTTTTACTCTGACACATTATGAAACAAAGTTCATGTACCTTATGTGTACTTTGCCCCATTATGAAGCTCATATCCTGGAAGATATTTCACAATAACACACAAATATAAATGGCTTTTCATCCTTTAGACCAGTGAGTGCTGGTAAGCTTTCTAAAACTAACAATCTTTAGAGACTCGGGATGTGACAGTCACTACCTAATTCACAGATTATATACAAGACTGAAGAACCTGCCACCCATGACAATGTATCTGAGGGACGGACTCTTGTGTTTGCTGCGTAATTCAGACAATATTGGTTCTACTAGGAATAAAATGTTCATGTCAGAGAAGAATGGAATCATCAATAAAATCATAAAAAGAAAGGGGAAGGATTTTAAAACTTTGGTGTGCTTCTCATGCACTCTCTCAAACCCATTTGAGAACATCATGATAACAAAAGTAGGAGGAATCAGAGCTGGTTTACAGAGGTTTCTGGGGGTTCAGTCTTTCATTCACAAGATTTATTTCAATCTTTGTGAAGAACTGTGGCTTTTCCCAAAGCTGATGGGTAAAGGATGCAGTTGCTCTAATGAAAGCAGGGATATCCGTCTTCTCTGTGCCCTTTCCCATTTTGTTTTGATTTATGATGTTTGCTGTATTTGTTCCAGGAGGAAAAGCTCAAGAGAAGCAAAGAAGAATGCTGTCTCCAAAGTGACGCCATTTTGAAGGATTCCAACAACTGACCTCTAATCAAAGATAAAAACAAAGAAAAAAAATCATTCAGGATACAGTGCCTCGGGATTGTTCATAAATGTTGTCAAATTTTTTCCATATAAACCATATGTATAAGTAGTGAGTTAAATTAAAATTATGCCAGTTTACCATATATAAAATAACTATAATAAATCACAGCAAGAAATTTGCAGAAAGTCATAATATATTGAAGAAACCCTGGCCCCAAATTTCTGTAGTTAGTGATAGTGGTCAAGTTTCTGATAGAGTGGGGATTGATGGCAGTTTCATGGATTGAAGCCTCCTCTAAGTCTTGGAGTCTAGGGGTGGGGTGGGTACCTCATGAGACTCACTAGGTAAACAAAGTTCACATTTCTGATAAAACCCAAATTTGAAGATTCTGGAAAGCCTTTACCTAGCTTTATGAAAGAAGTGAACGGCATTGTGGGAGGAAACTGAGCAGTCAAGCTTCAAAAGAGGTTATTATTTGACTGTTGAGCTGCCCACAAGCTGTGCAGAGAGCGTTGGGGTAACAATTTTCATAAGGTGTTGGGAGCTTTTAGTGATATAGCTGCCCTTTTGAGTCATCCTTGCTTCCCCTAAAGTAACCTTTCATTCAAATTCCTGTTAGTAACCCCCCAAAAATTCACTGGTTTGCCAATCTTTGATACAACTACTTTGTTCAGTCATGGGTTCTCTTTCTGGGGTGAGTACACTGTGAGTATTATGTCTCCCCAAGAAAAGGCAGTCATCTTCCCATTGCTGTAATGAGATAGCTGAGAAAATTAACCTAAGGAAGAAAGATTTATGGTGGTTCCCATATCATTGGCTTCATTCCCATGGCCATTTTAGTCCAGTACTTCAGTGCCTGCGTGAGGCAGCAGACGGTGGGAGAGTGTGTGCTGCAGGGAAGCTGTGCATTTCATGGCAGCTGAGAAGACAAGTGTGGGGAAAGAGACAGACAGACAGACAGACAGACAGACACAGAAAGACAGAGAAATACAGAGACAGACAGAGTTAGAGAGCGGAAAGACAGCGAAAGGGGAGAGAAGAGGAGGAGAGGGGAAGGAAGAAAAGAAATGAAGTAAGCCCACAAACAAAACACACCTCAAATCATTCCCAATTAATCCACTGCCTCCATGAAGGAGCCTCCTGAAAATCATCATTTCTTTTGAAATAATACTGTGGTGATTTGAATGTACTTGGTCCCCATAAGCTCAGGAAATGGCACTATTAGGAGGTGTGGCCTTGCTGGAGGGTGCTGGATGACACATATCTTTAACCCATATCTTGAGGCTGGAGGATAACTTTATTTTGGGTCACAACTTCTGTTGGAAGTACGTCACTGTGGAGGTGGACTTGGAGGTCTTTTTCTCAAGCTTCAGCCAGTCAGCTTCCTGTTGCCTCTGAGTTGAGATGTAAGCACTCTTATCTCCAGCACCATATCTACCTGCATAATGCCATGCTCCCCTCGTGACGAACTGAACCTCTGAACTATATGCAAGCCACCACAACCCTAACTAAGTCGTCTTTTTTAACTAATAAGACTTTGCGAGACTGTAACAGGAAGGTAGACTAGGCTACAAGCATGGTTTCTTTCAGAGTTCCTGGGGAAAGGTGGAATAAGAACAATTGATAACACCAGACTTGAGAATTAGTTGAAATATATTTTAAGTTTATATAGATTATCAATAATAGTATAGACACCTGCTAAGTGTTGCAGCATTGAAAAATGTATAATGTAAAAAAAAAAAATTCAGAGAGAGAAACTTCTGAGTTTCAGAAGATTCCAGCTGTAGCTGCTTTGCCTGTTGCCTTGTCCTTTGGTGAAGCAGAGCAGACAGCCTGTGGTGTAACTAAGTTGCTAACTTCATGATTGTAATAAAAAAAAAAAAACAGGAAGTTACAGTGAAAGACCCTGAAGAGGCACTTTCGTAGAGGGAGACCCACACACCCAGGAACCAGCGAGGCCACGAACTGGATGTAAAAAACAAGAGGCTTTATTGGAGACGCGGGTACCCGGGGCGACTTAGCTTTTCTGAGGCCAAGCGCGCCGAGCCAAGGGAAAGGGGTCCTTATATAGGGAAAAAGGCGCAAGCTAGGAGCAGGGATTCTATTTGATGGTTCAAATGAGGCACAGAGCCATTCCAGATCAGCATATTCTCAAGGTCTGGTGTCTGGTACAACAGACTTGATTCCTCCCTCCGCGCCCAGGTGGCTGACCTTGGGGGCGGAGACCTTGGGACGGAGTGTTTCTCA